GGAATTCATAGCTGGTCTCACCTGTGAAGCCAAACTCTCCTTTGGGTTAACTGGTGCTGGTGGAACTTCAAACCTTGTAGCAAGCAGCCAAACTAAATTTTCTATTTTACACCGACATGGTTCGCAAACGTTTCGGGTGACAAATGTAAGATTCGACCAAAAGAACTTTCCTTTTATTGGCTAGATATTTACTTGAACTGTAAAGCAACTATTCGCTAAGTTCAGTTGTATCAAGAACAAGACATAGGAAAGGGTAAAAAGACCATTTGATTCAACTCAAGAAAGTATTTACAATTGGCACTCCTCATGCTTACAGGTTCATGCCAATAATTTTGGTGGTGAGTCAAAACAGAAATTTAAAATTAAAACTGAACCTAATTTGGATAATCAACCAAAGTTTCACACAGTTTAATGCGTAATTAGCTCTTTGCCCTATAACTGACATAGAGTAACCGGCAGTTAATATGCACAGCTGTAAAATAGCAACTTTAAGTAGCAGAGAAACAATGTCGACGAAAGTTGGAACAGGCTCTGTCTGAAGTAACTCAGACACCAGCTTAAATAATAGTTTTCTACCTTACTCTGCATAAGGTGCAAAACTGAAAATCTCATTGTGGCAAGAAAGTGGGGGTTAAAAAGAAGACCTATAGGAAAGATTGCTTCCAAATTAAAATTAACTTTTAATGAAATTAAATAAAACCCCACAACACTAAACTGGGATTCCGTGTAGTTCCTGAAAGTTAGGTGTGCAGCATGCTGATAGTTTAATAAAATAGGAAAAGGAAGAAATGCGTACTAATTTTATGAACAGATGCAAAGTAAGGTGAATAAAATGCATCTGAAAACATCTGCGTGTAATATACATGACACTATATACAGAAGGCTTTATGAATATTTAATTGGCAGTTACACACTAGTAATATCACATAAATGAATTGATTTCCTAGCTGTTTCACCGTGTAATAAGACCTCACTAATGAAATGTTTTTTCGGGAAGAGATCTAATGGAATTGGTGAGGATTTGATGAGTTGGCTTAGAACTGATACGTTTAGAAAAATGTAAGGATAAAAATCAATGAAACGATGATAGAAAAGTGCTATGGTGTCTGCAGAGTGACAAAATACAGGCTAAGGTTATTTTGAAATTAGAAATTAAACTTTATGCTCTACAGATGAAACATTCTCAGTTCCATGGGTTCAGAAGGCAAATTTACATTGTTTAATAACCCCTCAAAAAACAAGTATTACATTCCAATCTTCAACTATACAAATGTTTTCCCTGCACATGCACATAGCTAGCACCTTTCCTTCACCTCCAGCAGGTTATGCCACTTAAACACACCAGTTTCCATTGTTTTAGAGGTATGTCAGAATTATTATTGTCAAGTATTTTTGAATAGAAATGTATAAAAAGGATTGAGTGCTGATGGCATATAAGTTTAGGATGAGCAAAGGAAGTGATACCAATAAGCCAAAAGTCTGCAGACTGAGCAGTTGAGATAGAATATATTTAATTTATACTGTTTCATTAATATAAACTTTTTTTTTGCGCATAATCATTTAATACTTTGGATTAAATTGCCATCAAAAGATGTTTGAAATGGGGGGTGAGAAATATAAATGAGTTTTATACATCGTCTTATGTTTTATATATACAGTCAAAAGTCTTTAATCCAGATTCGTTGGGACTTCAGCGATTCCGGATTATCGGTTTTTCCGGATTATAAATCATTAGTTTAAATTTGGTAAGATGGCATGCAGAAATTATTAAATTAAAAATATGAAACCATAATTTATGAAATAAAGAGCAATTATGATCTAAAGGGTATCAAAATTTTAAAAAAATATTTATTTGTTTAGTTGCTTTGTTTTATATGCTAATACTTTCTCTTTAATTCTATAAACAGACATAATTTCTTGTTCAGTTACAAAGTTCCACTGTTCAAGTCCTGTAATTGCTGTGCCAAGAAAACCGACTAACTTGTCAATCGAAATTCTTTCGTTTTCACTAACCTCTCTGTCACTTTCTTCATGCCTTTATCCATTTTTTTGCAGCAATTCCACTTTTTGTTTGATTGACATCAAAACATGCTTTCGCTTTGTAGATCCTTTGGCAGCTCCAGAATCGGAAATTCTATTTGACATAATCGAAAGTTCACGCTTACGTTTATAAAATAGCTCTAAGAGTCTGCAAAAAATAATAAGCCGGATCCAATTCAAAGGTTAAGGAACAATGCAATCTGCAACATTAACTGAAATAGATCATTTTAGCTTAGCTTATACCATCCGTTATACATTAAACGAGCATGCGTAAACGCATTTTCAGGAAGTTTGTAGCTTTGAGGTCCGGATTATAGATCATTCTGGATTATGGACATTCGAATTAAAGACTTTTGACTGTATATAATTTTTTAATGCCTCTGAAATCCTAAAAAGCTTAGTCCAGGAGCGGGAAAACATTTCATGTCGGAAGGCCACAATTCAGGTATACACAGCACCGTTGTGTAAAGCTAATGTACATTCTGGGATTCTCAACCCCTATAGATTCTTGCCATCTAGCCACATGTGGTAGTTCCCCTAGTCAAGAGGTAAAGTTCCCAGACACTTGACTATGAGCACCCTTTGCACTAAGATTTATCTGAGTTTATGGAGACGTCCAGCATAGAAAACATAACTTTACAGAGTTTACAATACCAGTTTTTCTTCAGTTGAAAAATCCATATTTTACATATAACGGAGCTAGTTGACACATGCAACTGACTGTGAAAGTCATACTGGAACTAAATCATTAGTTAATCAGGTATAGTTTATTAATGTTCCAGTTTAAACATAAATATATGAGGATAATGCCATGGAACTGATTTTAAAACAAAAATATGAACGAATACTACAAAGAAAAGCATTTATTCAACAAATTTTGATTCAATCTAAAAGCCGCACCAAAGGGAATAGAAGATGCCAATCTTTCTGGCAGGTATTAAGATCACTGGTTTCTTAATCCTTCTCTTTTCTCAACAATTTTGAATCAACTTGTAACAGTTACTCTCAGAAATGATGTAAAACGTTATGGATTTAGATAACCATTTCAAATTAGTGCCTTTTTGAGTGACCGAATATTTATGGTCTCAGAAATTGAAAGAAAAATTATTTTCACTTAAGAGGTTCTTCATTATTTGCCAAAAAAAAAAAAAAGTTTAATAAACATAGTAAAAATGTATTCACATTTTATTCACTACGTTCTTAACTTACAAGCTTAATTGAATAATTTCAGCGTTTCACCTTTTTCAAGAATTAAATCCTTAAACAAATAACCTCCTAAACTCAAAAATATTTAATGAAATGAAAAGTACGATACTTAGCTTCGTACGAAAAAGTTCCTAAAATCAATTTAATGAAATGTATTTTTAAATGTATCACTATCTGACCTTGTAAAATTTGAGATCGAGCTTATATTTCAGTGATGCATTGCTCTAACGAGCTATTCAGCAGGTAAACCTAATTGCATCTGACAATCTGCGCAACCAATATGTTTGCCGAATCATGCAACTTGTGCAGAGGTCTTCTGGGAAATTATTTGCTCAAGGATGAGATCCTTCTCTGAGAATTTTTTCTAAGCGTAAATCTCTAACTTCTTTAATGCAAATAGCTAAATTTCAAGGACTTCGGTTATATGGTAATATTTCTTTTACATATGCGTCTCTTGTCATTATAAATGCCAATGTTTTATAACGTGCATTTTCAGTTATGAATTTTCCCTATGACTGATATGTGTATGAATATTATATGTACATGAATACATATATGGAAAATGAGAAATATATTAATCAATTTTTGTTCATTTTGAAGTTTTTCGAAAACCTGGAAATAACAGAAAGGTTTTATTAGATCTCGGAAAATAATTCACAGGCAGAAAGTCAAAAGTTGAAGACAGCAGTTTGATGGAGGGATAGACATTAGTGCTAGTGATATAAATGAAAAGTTATTAATGGCTGGATAGCTGGAAAGAGTAAAACTATTATGGGCAGATGAAGGCAATATTTGCTATGATCAAAATTCAACAAGAGCAACTATTATGAAGAAATGTTATTTTGATTGCACTACTGCTTTAACTTCTCTTAAAGTAAGTTTATTTTTCACAGGTGTAAAAATTACGTGGAACAGCAGACTTTTTGATTACTGATAAATGATATCGTGTAAGAGTGAATCTTTAACACAATATTATTATAGCTTAAAACAAATTTAGCTGAAGAATGTCTTTCCTATTTTAACACTTTGTACTTGAATTAGCCACTCTATTGCTACATGAAGGCTTAACGAGGCTGGACTGTATGCAAGAAAACTAGTGGTTTTCATCGTAGTCACTCCAGATTTCAGAAGAGCCCATTGGAACTGGTGCCATCATCATGCCAATGAAGCCAAGGTGACTGGGTCTGAGTATTGTTTACTGATGAGTCCAGATATAGTCTCAACAGTGATTCTAGACATGTTTTGATCTGGAGTGAGGATGGAACAAAAATGAGCGTCACTAAGTTGTTAAACCAAGACTTAATCAAATTTTAAAATGCATATTTATTCACTGATAAAATTTATGTTTAGCAAAAGAAAGAGCATGTTCAAAAAACAGCGAGCAGTGTTCAGATATGTACTGCTAAAAGCAAAATTTTCAAATCAGTTACCAGTTTTCAAGTACATATATATGTAAAGGCTTAAATATTGTATTTTCTAGCAGTGGAGCTTTCAGTATATTTCTTTGTGTATTGTGAAATGAACTATTGCATTGCTGTAACAAAATATTCTGCAAAAAGAATTATCAAGGCATATAGCTATTTAGTGATCTACCATAACAAATTATCTGCTTGCAATAGATTTTGCCCTGCAACCCATAGATTTAAATATCTTTAGTTATAAACTAAATGATAATCAGTTAACATTAATTGTTCTTATATATTGGACACTTTTTAACATTTGTATTTAATTAAATGTTCATTTACATAATTTAGATATGTGATATGAAAATATTGGAGTTGTTGTATGAAGAAGCCAAGTATAATATCCTTAAGGGTCGCTATCCTTGTGATATACAAGATTGTGATGTTCTGGCAGGTATTCAGGCACGTCTAGAGTTGGGACCTTTCAATCCCCAAATTCACACTGCTGAATTTTTTAGGTAAACTGACAGAATTCTCAATTAAATTTATTAAGCTAATAAATATTAATAGCTAAATTCTTTTTTTTTTGTGTGTGTGTGTGTGTATTTGCATCTTGTGCATTTATTAGGCTTTTTTATTATTTCCTTTAGTATTTTAATTGTTTTTTAAATGTATGATTTACAGAAGTAAGATAACTGATTACCTCCCAAGTTATGCTTGCAAAAATCGTTGGTCTATCTTAAATGTCAGTGCTAAACCAGGTCCTGAACATAGGCTGTTGGATCGATACCGAAACATATCAGTAAACACTACTAGGTATAAATTGTTGAGGAAATACATGGAATTCTGTTGGTCTCTTCCTTATTATGGGTTTGTACTGCATAATTATTTTGTAATGGCTGTGTTAAATTGTGTAAAATTACTCTAATGTTGTTTTCATATCATATTAATTGATCTTTTTGACTCATGCATGAAGCATTTATGTTTATGTGTGTGTCTTTTTCTCTAGATATATGTGTATACAATAAAAGCTACACTATCTGGCATTCAGCTAACTGGAAAGCTGAAGTAACTGGAATATTTTAGAAAATTCTTCTCCTGAAGAATTTAAAAATAAGAGACTTGTAATGCCATTATAAAGCTCATCATACTGCCAACATGAATACATTGTCACAGACCCAGTTATGGATAATCACAATGTCACAACACAATCATTAGGTATTCATTTCAATTTAATGTAAGCTCATTATTTTTTGTTAAGCCAGTTTAATTTTTCTAAAGATCCTGTTCTTAAGATAAGTCCTATTCTTTCTTTGCATTTTGAAAAAATGATTAACATTTGAAACAGCATGAAGTGAAATATCTTCAAAGGTACAGAATCTGGGCATTTACAAAGCCACAGTTCATGATTTTAAAAATGGATAAATGAAGGCAATGCGATGTGGAAAAATTAAAAGTGTGGAAAAGCAATTTACGGTTTTTAATGTTATATCTGTAATTTGTATCCCCTTATTATCTAACTGAATAAATAAACAGCTGTTCATTTAAAAATTTCTGTCAAAATCATTTCCATTTCCACCAACTTTTATGTTTGGTGAGATTTCGTTATGGGATCAAATGCTTTAATTTTATGCTTAAGGACTACTATATTGGCATCTATGACTGAAATAATCCCTCCAAAATGTTATATAATTTTGCATGTAGACTTTCAGCTTTCAAGTTGGTAACAAATAAAATGAATATTTGCATAATTTTAGAACAGACATTTTTCCCATTCAGTTTGCTTCTTTAACATGAATCCCATTTTTCATATTCTCAACTATCCGGAATTTTCATATATCTAGAATTCCATATTTCCAGAGCTTTTATTGTGTATATATATATATAATGTGTGTTTGTGCCTATGTGTGACAAAAATATATAAATCATTATTCTAGTAATTTGTAATAGTCTTTTAAGTCTCCATTTTAATTTCACTACTTTCCCCGTTTGTTCAAAAAATAGTACCCAATAATAAATATCTCAAAACTGTCATTTCCAAAGCAATCTGTGTCATATGATTTTTGTATAATGCTGGTGATGTAGATTGTTTTGTAAACTTAACTAATAATAATTTTGGAGTACTGTTAATTAGCCAATTAAATGGCATCAAAATTGAAATTAATTTACTCTGGACTTAGATTTCATCTCGAACAGAACATGCTTCTTTTCGCCTTCTCTTGCCAATGAGATGTTGCCACACTGCTCTTTCCTTATCACGATATCAAAAATTCAAATGTTAAATACTTGAACAAGCATATTTAGTGTGCTAAGTTATTTGCACTGTGAATGTCAATTAAAATAAAAGTGAATATTTAAAACTATCATGACTGTCGACTTTTCATTCTGCATTTAGAGTTATTCAGCACTGGTTTCCAGGTATTTCTATGGTACATTTCAATGTGCCAACTGTCTTCAAAATTACTTCTAAGCTATTACAGTTTTTGCACCATAGGCGATATTCAAAATTATTGAGTGACATTTTTCCAGTTTATTGCACACACATATTACATACATGCACACACACACACACATATATATATATATGTAATGTAATGTGTGTGTACTACATTAACAAGTAAAGTTTTATATAGTCCATTTCTGGGACTTTGTTATATTGCAAGTGTTTTCTTCTGAAACACTTTTTCCTATTCCAGTCAATAGGTTCATCTATGAACTGAGTGTAGATCAAAATGGCATAATGTAAATTAAGCAATTCATTGTCATAATGTAAATTAAGCAATTCAAACTACTTGAGATTTTTGTGTTGCTTAAAACATACATATGTAGGTCAAGAGAAAAAGAATCAATAAAGCAAAAAGAGAAATCTGGTGAAAGGAAAAGTGCAGAAAGTTATTAAAACGTAAAAAGTAAATTAAAAATCCGTCTAGATGCAGTCTATCATTCGCTGTCTTACTGGGAAGAAGCAGTGCATGACACACAATCAACTGTTAATAGTCGCCTTTATAATTGATCACCTTCCCTTATATGATTAAGTGAGAAAGAAAAATTGTCAATTTATAATGTTAATATAAGGTTAAAAACTGTACATCCCAACTGTGTTACTTTTTAAAGTAGTTAAGAATGAAGCTAGATGAAATGTTGATGAAAATTGTAGATGAAGAATTACAGTAAATGAATGTCTAGCTGTAAATGTTTGTGAATAACTCTACATTAAACTGCAGTTTTTCATCTACTGATTTCATCCACATTTAAGCATTTTGCTTTATTTTTCAGTATTTGGAAAAATCAAGTGGGAAAGAGGTGCGCAGCTTTCAATCGTATAGTAGGATTGATACAGCACGAAGTTCCAAAATCTGGATGTCTAGTATTTGGATACAAGATGACCTGCATTATTTATTAAGGCTAGAAAAAGAGAACAAATTATTTAAAAATGCAGGTGTGCTGTCATTCCTGTATGTCACTTTAATGATAATATATTGATTGACAGATGCTTTTCTTGAAATTGGCGTTCAACTGCTAATTCTTAGCAGCTCTTTGCAGGTATCTCAATTGATCCCATGTAGAAGCCTAATCTGCGGATTCCTCAGGTAGTCTTCTAAGAGAATCTGAAAAAGAAAAATCTCAAAACATCATTGCCTTGTGAAAAAGTGATCTGTGTGGCATGGGAGGAAGTTTGGTCAGAGGGGAAGGTGGGCATCCAAGTTTGGAGGGTGTGGCTTTTGCTGAGCACGTGATCTCAAGCACCTAGCAGGAGCTTTGGAAACTGCTTAGTATGCAACAGGAGAAAGTTGAGGAAAATACCCTAGGGAGTAAGGGTTCAACTGTGTAAATGAAGTCCAGTATTAAAATAATTTCTCGTTTCCTTTTATGAATACTCATTTACTTTACACACATGGAAGGTCATCAGATAATGTCACTTATTTAGTAGCTTTGCATTTCTTTTCTTAAGGAATGACAATATTGATTGATGTTAGCACAGCCACATTTCTGGCCATTGAATGAACGTGCAGGGGTGAGGAACAGTTTTCTATCTGACTTAGACAATAAGTGAAGCACAGAAACATATATGTTTGGACTGTACTGTTAGTCATGTGGGTTTTCTTCTGTTAGCATAGTAGCGAGGAGGAAAAGAAGAATTAGATTCCAAAGAACTTAAAGTTTAGTTAACATAGGAAATTGTTACATAAGGCTTTACTGGAAATATCAATCCAAACATATAAAACAGCTCAATTATCACACATGAACAATGATAAATAATAAAAAAGAACAAACATTTATGAAGTAAGACTCAGAATAAATGAACATGGGAACAAAAATAAAAAGTTAAAAATTTAATCAACAAGGAAAGGAACTAAGAAATGTAGTCTATACATAGGAAATTAATGTTGTTTAGGCAGGATAAAATTATTACGGCTATCATATCAAATTTAAAGATTGGATTTTCATTTATGTTGAAAAGAGTATCTAATTCTGGAGCAGGAATATGATATAATAATGTTATATATGTTGTGCCACAATTAAAAGCACTATAGGTTCTTACCCCTTTACCTGCCTTTTAGGCAGGAGGTGGATTTTCATCAAAAGCTCCCAGGAGAGGAGTAGTAGAATATCTTACTGTGACCCTCCAGGGTTCTCCAATCCACAGAATGGCACACTGAACTCTCTAAAACACCTCTTCACGACACCAGCTCACCACTGTCAAGGCTCAGAGACCACAATGAGTCGAGAGCATCTTGAAATGGTTAAAAATTAGCCATCACACTTCCCACTTGGATGGTTCATGCCACTACCCTGTGGGTTCCCATAAGTTTCCCTTTTAGATAATAAGAACTAGGTCCGTGTATTTCATGCCTCCACAGCTGAGACTGTTAGAGTATAATACTAAGCTACACTCTATAACAAAAAAAAAAAAAAAAAAATCGACGCACCAAGAAGGAGTTGTCCGATGGAGACAAAATGTGGTGTATAGGAAGATTGTGTACAGAATAAGAAATGATAAGAATTTCAGAACAATTGAATGATTTATTTCAGTTACATAGTTACAATGTAACGAGCTCAATAAGGTGTTGACCCACCTCTAGCCTGAATGCAAGCTGCCACACGGTATGGCATAGACTAATAAAGCTTCTTGAAGGGCTGCTGCCAAATTTGCTCCAATTGTTGGGCTAGGTCATCCACATTCCCTGGTATATGCAGTCGCCTTCCCATCATATCCCAGACATTCTTGATAGAAGAGAGATCTGTAGATCTGTCTGGCCAAGGAACTGTTTAGGACAATTCATAGCAACACGTCCCATATGTGGTCTGGCATTATCTTGCTGGAAAATAAGGCCAGGGTACTGAAAAAGGAACAGTAGCGAAACAGGTGTCGTCAACGTACAGCTGTGCTGTAAGTGTGCTTTTAATGACGACCAAAGGGGTCTGTCTTTCAAGGGAAATGAAACCCCAGACCATAACTCTTGGTTGAAGGCCTGTGTGGTGTGCAATAGTGAAAGCAGGATCGGCACGCTGCTCTGGGCATCTCCAGACACGTCTTCGATGATCATCATGAAACAGAAGTGAGATTCATCGCCAAAGACTATATATATCCCCAGTCAGCATCATTCCAACCTGATTGAGCCAAGCAACACTGTAATCTGTTTCGACAGTGTGCAGGCATGAGGGGCAGGTGGCGTAATGTTCGGTATGAGTGTAGATTTCGCTCTATCAGTAATCTGTGAATGGTTTGGATGGACACTCAGGTTGCACATCTGATGGTTGAAAGTGATGAATCAGCTGATCTGACAATTACTGTCCTTTTGATCTGTTGTGGCCCTATGTTGACTCTTACCATCCATGACGCTGAAATCTGCTATTGTCCACCCATTCTTGCGAGCATCCTCTAATCGCCGCTTTGCTTTGACTCATATGATGAGCGATTCTCCGATTTGTCCAACTCTGACAGTTGCTCGTAATGAGCTCAAATTCCGAGGCGAGGCATTTTTTTTCAGTCATTGAAATGTATCCTAAATCGGAATATTTAACAATAGTTCAAGAACAGATCCTTATATACATCTGCTGGATGTGCAGTTCTGATGTGATGAAGATCGCACTATTCATTCATTGGACACCAAATTCTAATCATTTGTATATTTGGTCAAAACATTAATGCATACGAAATTTCAAAGCAATCAAAAGATTCCTTCTTGGTGCATCGATTTTTTTTTTGTTTTGTTGTTGTTGTAATGTATAGTATATACATCCCCTGGGAAGAAGTAATGCAACGTAAAAGCATATTTGGTAGACCTTGACAGAATTCAAATTGAAGAGAATTGAAGAGAAAATATTAGCCCAAAAAATAGCAGCTTAATGCTTTGGGTACATTTGACGACTTAGACTTGTCATGCACTTGTTCCGGCTACGTTATGGATAATGAATCTTTATTATCATTTAAACTAGGACAAAATTAAACATGTACATTCTTGTTCATGGCAAAAGTGATTGGTATCAGTTATAAGAGCAGGTTTCTTCCAGTACTTTAGTGAATGTTGTTTGTGAAAACTCAACAGAATTTTTTTAAATAAATGTACACTAAGGGTTAAACAACTTATCAGAAATATTTCATGAAACCAACACATAAGTATTGAGTTTTTTTGTAAATTTTGATTCCATGGTCATAAATACGTCATTATTTCATAAACAACAATTTCATTCAGTTTTATATTTGCTACATAGTATGTTACTAGATTTGAGCTGATAATCTAAAATCCAAATATCTAAATTCCAGATATAAGACTTTTTAATGTACTTGTTTCCCATAAATTACATGCAGCTGAAGCTGTACACTCAGAAACAATGGTAATAGTTGGTTATGAGGCATAAGTTATCCTCTCTTACGACCCAGTACATGATTGCCAGTTTCTGTTATCAATACATTTTTTCCCTCTACTTTTTTGCTGTTTCTTCACTTTTTGCATTTTCCCCCTCAACAAATTTTAACATTTACTTCATATTCTGATAATCATTTTATTGTTTACCTACACATATATGTTTCCAGGAACACCAATGTCTGTTGTAATTTTTGCTGCTTAACTTTTTTTCTTTTACGTTATTTTTATCTACATTGAAGTTTATTTCCATATTGTGGCTTATAGTGCATAATGTTTACTTCAATATCTTTATTCTCTCCAAATTTCTGATATATATATGTATGCTTATTGTTTATTTCTTTATAATAAAAAAATTTATACATGAAATGAGTTATATTTTCTATGAGTTCATGTTATAATAGATAAAAGTAAACTTAATCTTATTTTCTCCCCTTCTCTATGAAATTCAAGCTCTGCATTTTTCCATGCTCAAGTAGAAAAACCAGTTAAAGGTCTTTCCCTTTTGTTTGATCATTTTGACCAGATGGTTTTAGTTGGAATTAATAGAGATGGTGTGCATATTATTGATGAAGTTGATTCAGTAAGTTTCTTTTCATTTCTTTATTCAACTTGTATGATACAATTAGTCTCAGACGTTTAGGTACAGCAGGAAAATCTCATTAAATAATGTACAGCAGTAGTTCAAAACAAGTCATTTGAGGTTTACTTAACAAGACAATGAATTTTACTTTATTTATATCAAAATACAAATGATAGTGAGTCCAGAAATTTTAGTATAATTTGTGTGCCAAAATAAAAAAATAGTACCTAAAAAAATAAGGCACTCCAGAGAAATTTTTCCATATCTGCCTGTGAGATAAGGTACATGTTATTCCATGTGCCTTTATTTGTAATCTCTTCATCTGAAAGTTTTCCCCTAAATATAACAAAATTTCACTATGTTTCTAGCATTCATTGCCTCCTACTTTACTTCTTCAGTTAGGGTCATTTTGCATGGGATTTCCATGTTCAGTGCTTTTCATGATCTTCCATATGTTCTCAGTTGTAGAAATTTAGGTGTTGTGGTGATTAAGAAACCCATTAATGATGGTACACCAATCCAAACATGATTGTTTTGTTGAGTTACTTATAATCTCATCAAATTCCAACAATGTATGGAGACTTTAACCTGTTAAAAATTCCATTGAAGCCATTCAAAAAATTTAGCAAATGGCAGCCTATTCTGCTTACCTGTCTTTGGTAATTGATTGGTTTCGGTTAAATTAGTGAATACTTTTCTTTCTTATATCAGAAGTAAATGCTGAAAATTAAATTGATACAGAAATTAAGAAATATATTATTGTTGCTAAACACAGCATTTATGGTTCAAGAAGATTTTTTTGCAGTTTATATTACTTTTAGACAATACTATAAGAAGATGCATACTTATGTATGATTCTGAAACATAAACCTTTACTTAGGCACAAGAAACTTGTCTAGCTGTTGTTGAGCGTAAAATCATAAAATAAATCTTTGGCTGTGTAAACATATATGGCTTCTGGTGATAGCATAAAATGCCATGTATAATTTGTTGCATTATTATCAATTCTTACTTCAGTTGGACACTCAAATTGTGTATATGATTGAAACCAGTCAGTTTTGTTTGTAATATGCTGAGTAGCTCCAGTGTCGATTATCCATGCATTATTATTAGTCACAATGTGACACCCACTAATAAAAATACTCACCCCATTATTGGACTTTTCTTCATGATTGACTGTCATGTAATTATTTTTCTGGGATTTGCACTCCCTTTTAAAGTGACTTTTTTGCCACATTTAAAACATTTATACTGTTTTCTCTGATTGATAACAGGCCCATTTTTTTCTTGAAAATGTTTGTGCTCTTGGAGTTTTTCCAACAGTATCTGTAGCCATTAAAGCAACAAGTTTACTGTCTCTAGATGGCTGTGACATCCTTCTCTGGTCTTCTGAAATTAGCAGTCTCTTCAATTTTGGCAGTGTTTGCTGTTCTTCCGACCTTGCACACAATGCCATTTTTAGTGGTTCAAATTCATTTGAGAGAGTTTCTAATAGTTTGCTCATAATAACAAAGTCCTTTTGTTTAATTTAAAAATTGTGAATTCGTGATGCCAGATGTTCTACTTTTGCTATATGCATTGCATTGTATCTGTAGGATCATGCACAAACGATGAAAACTGCAACTGGCATGCATACTGTGCTTGCTTATTTTTCTGTTCAAGCAATTCATGCAGCTTCACCCATTTTTTTCTTGCTGTTTTGCACATGGAAACTAAATCACAAATTGTTGAGGCAAAAAATTCCACAAGCAGCTCCATTTCCCTTTCCAAACTTGGTTAGTTCTCGGTTGTACTTATTCCAGATTTCAAAGGAAGCACCTACGGCAACCCGCTCTAGTTTGAGCCCCAGAACACACTTTGAAAGCTCCTTCTTTTTCCTTAAGTAAACCTTTAACCGTCTACTTCCATTGCACCCAACTTTGTGATCCTAAAAGTTTTTCTGTGGTAAATACTTCTATGATTGCAATACAATCTGTTTTCACTTCTGAGGAATTAACAGTTAGGCTTATTAACAATAAAATTTCTTATAATGCTGATAAAGTCATACTGGCCCATAACCTGTTAAAGTATTATTCAGTCAGTGATGTAGAGCACATTAAATCTTAATTTATTTAACGTTAAACAATCAGGAAAGCATCTATTACCTTTTACAGAGTGTGAAGCAAAGACAAGCGGTAACATTACATTTCAATTTCTTTAGAACAGTGTTTCTTAACTAAAATAGGATGTTGTCAGATGAATTATACAAAAATTAGACATTGCACATGCAAACAATATATTAATAAGAAAAAGTTAAAAAACACATTTCAGCAAAACAATGCACAAACAAAAGCATAAAATAAATGCATTAAATAAATTTGAGTTCATAATATTAACAAGTTAAAATTTTTATAATAATAATCTGTTCAGATGTCTTACTGTATGTATTTAAATTAAATTAATAATTATCTGATTAAATTCTGGAGACATACTTCATTTTTGTATTAGTGAAGTTCTTAAACTCCCAGCTGACTGTGTTATCTATCATTATTTTTCATGTATGAAAACTCATAAATTCTAAATTTTTATCCTAAAGCATTTTTAAAGAGTTCTCTAAAAATATTTAAAGATATCTTAAACAGTTAAAATGCTTAATATCTTCGGCATTTGGTTAGTAGTCGTATAATCAAAATCATTTGAATATAGGTTGGGGCAAAAGTCATGGCAGTTATTTTTCTTTCTTGAAGATACCAGTCCGGTTGGAAAATGTGATATATACAGACGAAAGGACAAGGTCTTATATGCAAAATCATTTGAATATAGGTTGGGGCAAAAGTCATGGCAATTATTATTATTATTATTTTTTTTTTTTTTTTTTTTTTTTTTGAAGATACCAGCCCGGTTGGAAAATGTGACATATACAGACGAAAGGACAAGCTCTTAACTACATGTGTGGACAATGAATAGCACTGAAATATCGTAACACACGAATTTATTATGGAAGTATACAGGGCAATATGGCCTTCACCGTGCAAAAGAATGATAACACAATACACATAAAGTTGACATGACAAACATGGGCCTAAAGACCCTCAGTGTAGTCCCCTGCTACTGTCACCACATGCTGCCAATGATGTGGGAGGTGCTGAATACCATCAGCCTCAGCATTTGCCGCACCATTTATGAATCGGGTCATCTGTTGGTGCACAGCATTAGCTATGTCCTCTTGTGTTGCAAACCGTCTACCACGTATTGGTTCCTTAATCTTGGGAATGAGATTAAAGTCACAGGGTGAAAGGCCGGGAGAGTACGATGGGTGCTCCAATTCTTGCCATCCCCAACGTCGGAGTAGCTGCCGTACACACTCTGCTTTATGTGGTCTTGCAATGTCGTGCAGAATTATTGCACTGTCCACAAGATTCGGATGTTTATCCTGAACACCATGTCATACCTGTCGCACCAGGAACTTCCTGTAGTACTGTGCTGTCACTGTTCTGCCGTGAGGAACAGTCGCAAACAATGAGACCCCTGACATTATACGCGACGATCACCATCAATTTGACTGGGAAAGGATTCTGACGGACCTTCTGCTGCCTTGGTGATCCAGGATGTAGCCACTCTGCGAACTGATATTTCAGTTCTTGTTCATATGCCCTGGCCCAAAATTCATTGATGGTGATTATTCATGACAAGAATTGATCGCCGTCCTGTTGCCAGTGTGCAATGTGGTCAGAGCATATTGCATAGCGCACCCACCTTTGAACTTCCCTTTAGTGCATGTGGTACCCACATGAAGCGATTTTGCATAGCTGTAGCTCATTACATAATATCGTGTGGACGGTGTGTTTCTTGATGCCACTTGCCCTCTCTAACTCCAGTAACGTCCATTGTCTGTCTTCATCGATGAGGTGCTCGATGACGGCACGTGCCAAGTCAGTCCGCACACTCACTGGTCGTCCCAAACGTTGCTCATCACTGGTTGACACATGTCTTTGCTGAAACTTTCCTACCAACTGTGCTACTGTACAATATAGTAGGGCATTATTCCCAAGGGCTTCTATTAATTCACTGTGGCATTCCATCGCATTTCTCCCTCGGAGAACGGCTATTTTAATGTAAGCACACTGTTCAACACGGGTTACTTCCATCTCGCATGACATTCACCAACTGACTGATTTCAGACCCCTCGCTACCACAGAGCCAGCTATCACAGAGCCATTTGTTGTTATGCATACACACTATGCCTGCAGAACTTCCACACGACACATACGTTTTGTGATCCGTTCACATATCTACAAGAAAAAAATAGTTGCCATGACTTTTGCCCCAAACCTCATACTTGCATGAATTCTTTCTTCAGAGCATTCATTGCTTGTATTGTAAAATATGGAAAAACTATCTATTAAATGTTCAGAATATTGTCTACCTTTAGGTTGTATGTTTTACAAATATGAGAAGATTGTCAATCTTCAGAATAGTGTGGGCGTTGAGCATTTGTAATTGAAATTGTTTCATGTTCCTGCTGCATTAACTCTGGGATGAAGCAGAATTTGGGGGGGGGCAATGAATCCTTGACCTATGGGATCAGACTAAAAATAAAGTTACCTAAAATTTAATGGCTGTATCTAATAAATCTTTTTAAACTGAGATGAATCATTTGTGAGACAGTTCTGGAATTTAGACAGGTGGGTAAAACTTGTTCAGCAATTAAAGTTTAAACACATTTTGGGTAGAAAATGAAGTGTTTTACCATGTTTATTGATAGGTTTAAACATGGGAATAAATTTACTAGGGAAAAATTTAATTAAAACCATAACAGTTATACTCGTGTACCTGACTAATCTGTACATTTTGCTCAGTGGTTTATCTAGTAACAGTGTTATGAAACAAAAATTTAAACATGCTTATTTATATAAAATAATATTATGTGTATTTTGCAGAAATCCAGCTCTATCATGTATGTATGTATGTATGTATGTATGTGTGTAAATAATGTATGTATGTATGTGTGTAAATAGACTTTAATTGTAAAATATGTGTTACCTCATTCCTAGTGTCTTCTTCTAAGTATGAAGTTCAGAAACCTATCATGGGATTATGCTGCTGCATTCAAGGCTGAAAATCCAGACTGCCTTCCATGCTTATTTATTCAGTTCAAAATTCCTGGACAGCGTACAAGGGAGACAAAGTTGATTCAAATATTCTCTTATCAGGTCTTTTTATTATTTTGGAATTTTAAGGCTGTTTGTGCATATTAAGAAATACATATCATTTCGCATATTTAAACATGTTGGTATTTTATTGTATGATGGTGTTTTATATGTATACCAAAGTTGTCAGAAAACTCAAAAACTGATAAAAAAAAAGTCAGGGAATTTAGATATTTTAGCCAAAATCTCGAAAATCAGGGAATATTGTATGGTGATCTCCAAAGAAGCAATTTTTATACCAGTGTTAGAAACAGATCACTTTCTTGGCAAATTATGTATCATATGAGCGTCATTCCTGCAGCTGGTGTAGAGCCAGTTTTCACAATGCCAATCAGCTTGTCTTTCAGAAAGGCAAAGCAAGTTTCCAGCATCTTTGGTGTCCTATACTCTCCAGAATCCAAAAAGCATGCATAACGCGCATATTCTTACGAAGAACAAAAAATCTATGCACGTTGAATGAAAGGAAGTTCTGCCTCTTGGTTTAGAGATCTTGTTTTTCTGTTTCGGCTCCAATTAAAAAAAATCTTGTTTGTGAAACTTTGTAATCTTTTACATTATTAAGTAATTTTTTTAATGTATCTTTACATAGCATTCCAAAGTATTTGCGTGTTAAAATGATAAGAATTTATGCAATGCATTTTTCAAGTTAAAAGATATCTGTTGATGCTTTTTGAATCATTACTTTGCATTGATAAAAATAAAATTTAACCTTTAAGCTTTTCAACATTGTTGGCTGCATGAATCCAACTTAAAATTTATGCAAGAGAATGTGATACTTTGTTTGGTAAATGGAAAAAAGAATTATTTGCTCTGATTTTTTAGTTTGTGATTTTTAGATAATTTGCATTTAAAATTATATTTTCATGAAACAAATAAGAGCAAAACTGACAGCTGAATTCAGAAACAAATGTGCTAAATATAATAATGTTTGCCCCCCCTTTTTCTTACAAGCTTCTTCTAGTGAAAGTAAGCAATTAGTCCTTCTCCTCCTTCAAATTTCTGATTTTATTCAGCTAAAACAATATGTTTTAAACTTTTTTTTCTTTTTAATAAATGCCTTATTTGCCATTTTACAGTAACAAATTAAAAAATAATCTCTCATTTAGGCTAACCATTCAATATATCTATATTCTCTAAAATACCATTTATTACTGTAATACAAATTTTAATATTTTCTGTCTTTAAGTAAATTTATATCATTTGATGTGACTTCTCCCTCTAAATTTAACTATTAGTACCGTAATTTCGCGCGTATAGTCCGCGGACTATCTGTGTTTAAAATGCGAATTTTTGAAGCTGCGGACTATCCACCAGTAACATTAAACATTAGCGACATAATACGCTGCTTGTTCACGGTTAAAATCGTTGAAATTTAAAAAACACGCTGTCGTGAACTGCCGATGATCAAATATAAAAAAAGCACGAGATTCCAAGAAAACATTCGTATGTATCGTATCGATAGTAAACCATAGAGCATAGTGCAGAACGAATGAGTAGTAGCAAGTAGAGCTTCTAAAGTCCAGGCTGGCGCATCAAGCGATGCCGGGATATGAGCAAAAGAAAGTCTTGTATAAGCAGTCACTTAGCGCAAACAGAGTCTTGTATCCCAGTATCCTTCGCACTGCTTTAGCGCAACTGCCGGGAGGGGGAAAAGTAGTTGATGCGTCAGCTCGGTTTTTAGGAGCCATAGTAGCAAGTACCTGGAGTACAAAAAAAAAAAAAAAAGCGTGATTCGTTTACTTATAGCGTGGTTTGGCAACACCGAGTGAGTGGGGTCGAAGGTCACATTTCATTACCACTTATCACGAGGATAGCACGTTGCACAGTATTTTGTAGTCTTTCATCTTCGATAACGTTGATGAAACATCGCCAGGAAAAAGATGGAAATAGAGAAGCGGGCCGTTATTGGTTTAATCCTAGTATTCGGTGCACACGGGATTTGGCTACTTTTGGCGACTTTATGATGAGCAGTAAAAACGGGACATATACGATGAGTAGTTAACGGGTCATTCAAAAAATATATAGTTTAACATAGTATATACTACATATATAGTATATTACTATGTGTATATACATAGTATATAGTGTATAGTATATATATAGACGTTCTTTGGATCATTTTTGGTGTTGGCGATAATTTTCAAAGTCGCGCCAAGGCTGCACCGTATACTAGGATTTTACCCCGTTATTTTGAAGTGGACGAGAAAGCGGTGAGAAATTGGCGCAAACAAAAGGATGTGTTTAAAAAGCATGGGAATATTGCCGTATTAAAAAACGTAATTTCGGACGTATAGTCCGCGGACTATCCGGTGGTGCGGACAATCTGACGATTTTTGAAATTTTTTTTATATAAAATCTTGCGTGCGGACTATACGTGCGAAATTACGGTAGTTATTGTAACATTTTTATATGTTATGGATAAGTGCTAAAGCATGATTACGAGATCTGCTAAAACATCATTTTTCTACATTTGCTGCTCCAACATTGTGTTATAGTTAATAATAGTAAATGCAGTTGCATACATAACATCAGCGCAGGCGCAAGGTTATCCAGCGCCCGCCTGCAAAATAGCTGAAGTCGTCCCCCCCCTTTTTCTAAATTTTTGTATAGGAGAAGGAAGTTTTGAAGAAAGCATTTGTTGAAATTGATTTTAACAATTTATTGAGAATAATTTATTTTTCTGCATTTCATATTTACAAATTTTTCTATAATTTCTTTTGCATCTAGTTCTTGACAGATTTCATTTTCAATGGCAATCAAAGCTAAATTTATGAGTCTTTCCTGCGATATACTTGAACGTAAATATGTCTTGATCAATTTTAATTTGGAGAATGATCTTTCGCTACTAGCAACACTAACAGGAATGCTAAGTAGTATTCTCAGTACGATCTTCAAGTTCGGGAAGCACAAATTATTTGACACAATTAAGTTCAAAATATCGAATGGGTCATTCATACCGGCTGTAAAAATGTCTTTCGAAGCTACTATTTCGTCATAGAGTTCTTCTGCGTTAATATCTTTATTGTCACCACACTGTAACAATTTTTCTAATTTATCACATTTTATTTTCAAATTTGCGTTATCGATTTCTGATAAATTACCCAGGAAACTAAAATTATCGCAGTGATTTTTCATTGCATCAAATCTTTCGTTTAATGATGTCCAAGCAGTATCCAAAATTCTAAAAAAGACATTTGCCCTAAACTTCTCTTCTGGAGATTGAGGGGATTCGTCAGCATGTTCGTAATCGAAGTGACATTTCTTTTTCCTTCTTCGGACTTCTTCAACAGTTTTAAATTGTGGCTCGCCATCCACTTCTTCACTAAGTTCTTTGGCTTTCTCAAGAATACTTTTGTAATTGATATCACTTCTATATTCTTCAATGAATGTTTTTAAGTTACTTATTGCCTTTAAGGCTAGTGTAACACTCAAACCCTTTTCTTGCAATTGTTTGCTGACAGGATTAATTCTGTTAAGCAAATCGTGCCAAACTATCAAAGAACAAATATTTCAAAGAGAGCATCATAGATTTCTCCTAGTTGATATCTTAAAGGTCGAATAGCTTCAATTTTGCTTTCCCATCGAGTGTTTGAGAGGGGTTTTAAGGTTAAACAGGAAATGTTTTTTTAAAAGAACTGCCCATCGCTTAGGAGAAGAAGAAAATAAATTGTATAATTCTTGAATTGTCGAAAAAAAACTAACTGTATCTGCATTCACTTTTGCTGCATCGTTAATCATTAAATTTAAGCTATGAGCGGCACAAGGAACATAAAACGCACGAGGATTTATTTTTAAGATGTTATTTTGAAGACCATTTTTCTTCCCTTTCATATTTGCGCCGTTGTCATACCCCTGGCCTCTCATATCATCAAGGGGAATGTTCCACATTTTCAACATTTCCATTACTGTCTCACATAGCCCGTTACCTGTAGAATCATCAACTTTAATAAAGCCTAAAAAATGTTCCTTGATTTCTCCCACTCTATCACTGCAGAGGACAAAACGTATGACGGCACTCATCTGTTCAGTTTTGCTAATATCGGGAGTACAATCTAAAATTATAGAATAATACTTGGCTTTTCGAAGAGATAGTAAGATTTTCTCTCTTATACTACTGCCAATAATTTGCAGCATTTCATTTTGCTTAGATAATGAACTTTGCTGTTGCTACCTTTAGGTCGTAATACTCTTTCTATGTGAAATTCCATAACAGGGTCGAATTTTGCAAACAATTCCACTAATTTTAAGAAATTTCCGTTGTCTTTTTGGTACAGCACATCAGATGAGCCTCGAAAGGCTAAATTCTGGCTGCCAAGAAATTTTGTGATCTCAATCAGTCTCCCTAAGACATTTGACTTTTTTTTTTTCATACATCTCTTGTGTTTGGGAATCAATTGTTGTTTTATTTTTCAAATTTTTCTCAAGCTCTTTCCATTTTAAGAAATTTTTCATATGTGCTCTACTAATCTCATGCCTATGCAAGGCTTTAGATACATTTAGCCAATCATTATAGCCTTTTACGAGGCTACTACTGTCAACCGATGCAAATATCTTGCAACAGAAGCAAAAAAACAGAATTTGTACTTATAGAATATAATAGCCATGTACGGGGAACTAATTCTCCGTTTTCCATTTTTCTGTTATAATATGTATCACTAAATTTACGTCCATTATTACTTTTCGGATACATTAAACCTTTCCTTTGAATAGGCCCCATTTCAGACAAAGTCATTCTCACTTTGTCGCTAAGAGTTGGCCACTTTGCAGGATCATCAAAATCAATATAAAGAAAGGAATTTTCATTTATGCCAGTCTCTTCCATCGAATTACCTGGATAATCTCTAACTTCCGATTTATTTAATTCCATGCTTGGATCATCTTTCCCTTCCTTTGGAGTTTCATCAGTCCTTTCAATAACTTCATCCAATGCAGCTGATGTTCTTTGGCTGGATGATGTCTGTTCTTTTGTAATTGATTCTGATGCTGATTCAGTGTGAGCATCA